GATACGCTTGCTCACCGAAAACCTTGAGGGGATGAAACTTAAGCATGTTCATCGGAAGGGGAAAAATTGGGTAGGGAAAAATCCCCAAGAAAGAAAGAAAAGAGCAATACTTTAGAACGCCAAAGGATCGCCTAATCTGATAACTGCAAGGTACAAAACGAGATAGGAAGAGAAAAAATACACTTCTAAACAGTATACTTGGCCTTGACCCTGCTCTGCCCAGATTGGGCGCTCTCGGTATGCCCAGAAAATTCAACAAAATCCTTAACACCAAGCTTCAGGACCTCTTTAAATTTCTTGCCAATCTCCATCAAGGCCGCTTCCTCTGGAGTGCCTCCCCCGCCGCCGGTAGTCTTAGTCCAGACGCCGACTCTAAAGAGCGCCTTACGAACGTTGACAACGGCGCCCATGATTTCCTTATCCTTATCGGACTCTAAAGTCTCGCCGATGGCAGCGAGCATGACGTTAAGCCAGAGATCATCGATTGGAGCACGCTTATCCCTGAATTGATATGCCCATTTACCGCCATTCTTGTTCTGGGGATCCTCCCACTCAGGGCGAACACCGGTCTTGAAAAGGTGGTAATCAGATTTCAAACTGAGCTCAGATGTTTTGGTTATGTTATTCTGCAAATAGAGTTGTTTTTCAGCGGTGCAAAACGTCAGGTGGGAGCAAGAGAAACATACGTAGATCCCCCAGAACTCTTCGACAGAATCAAAAGTGACAACCTCCTTGAGTAAGTCATTCCAATTGTTTTCTCCCTAAATAAAAGAGACAAAGTTAGTCACAAGCCCAAGCCAGAGACTCAAGCGAACGCATGAAACATATAGTCCACTAAAATTTCACACAAGATACGGTATGGCACTAACCTTATTGCTCGGAGGCTTGGTATACCAAAGAGTCCACTTATTCATGAGGGGATGTTTGACATTGAAGTTATCAGGAGAGTGAAAGACAGTAAGCTGCTCCTTGTTGCCAGGAAGCCCAAGACCGCCCTCTCCGGTCTCCTCCTCAACCTCGCCGTTAGGAGGGGAGATGGGAATCTGGTCGAGAGGACGTTGCTCGTCGGGAATCACAACAGTCGGAGCTTCGGTCTCGGGCATGATGAAAGTAGATGTAAGTGCGATGTCCTCTCAAAAGACAGGATGAATTTGTAGGGTAGAGGTTGGTTGTGAGAACGAATAGGGGAGCGGGTTGAGGAGGTGGTGGATGAGAGGCCGGTTTGGTTGCAAAAAAAAATTAAAGTTTCAGAGGAAGAGAGAAGTGTCGAAAACTCAGGCAGTCTGTAGGGGAACAGAGCACACCGGAGGTGGGGCTGAAGCCTGAAAAAAAGGAAAAAGAGAGGGGACGAAATTCGCCAAGACAATGCTTTGTTCTTTGAGGTAACACTGGGGCACTATCAAAACGTTTCAACCCACCCTCATCTTTGTCCCGATACAGATCTTGAAGGAAGGAAGGAAGGAAGGAAAACAACACAAACCATGCCCCTCCTACCAACCTTCTCACGGGCTGTGGGGTTAGCTCTCCGACAAAACCATTGCCCGCCTGTTTGGATACTCTCCAGGGCTCAATTACAACAGTGTCGGTTTGCCTCTATCCTTGGAGACTTACGAGACGTGAAGGCTTCCTTCAAGAAGCGGATTCGCAGGGGTCGTGGCCCTTCGTCGGGCAAGGGGAAGACATCAGGGAGGGGTCATAAGGGTCAGAAGCAGCATGGAAAAGTCCCCGCTGGATTCCAAGGGGGTCAAACACCGTTACACATTACACACCCTGAAAAGGGTGAAGCCAATCTGTGTGCTCCATTTCACTTTATCGATGGAGTGGTGTTAAACTGATTGATGGATCGACAGCTTCGCTCTGGACATGTCTCCACTGAATCTCGACACATTACAAAGCTGGATAGACCAAGGCCGAATAGACCCAGCCAAGCCCATCACCTTTAAGGAACTCGTGGATACTAGATGCGTACACGGTATCAAAGACGGCGTAAAGCTTCTAGCACGGGTATGCCATACATGGCCCCCTCCATATGCCCAACTCTCGGTGTCCATGCTAATACCTCAACAGGGCAAACAAGTCTTCAAAACCCCCATAGAGATCACTGTCTCCCGTGCCTCCCGCCAAGCCATAAAAGCCGTCGAAGATGCTGGCGGTAAGGTTACGACCCGCTTCTTCAACAAGAATGGCATCAGAGCCGTCACGCATCCCGAACGCTACCCACCAAACGTACGACTTGCCAACCCAACAGCGCGTAAGGACATTGAGTACTATAGAGATCCGGAGCATAGGGGGTATCTGGCGCATACCCTGAGTGAAGGGGAATCGCCAAGCTTGTTCTGGCAGGCTCCTGGGAAGGCGAAGAATGTGCTCCCCAAGGAGCGACTACAGCAGAGGAAGGACAGGCAGGCTAATAGATTGTTTTAGCCTGGAGTTTGTTCAAGGGAACCGTGTTTATCCCGAGATGGGTTCGACGCAATCGGGATGTATTTAGTGACTGTATGCTATAGGAATGGGTATCAAGCAAGTGAGTGACCCATTCTGGGTCTCAGCAATCCGGTATTCTGCGGTAGATTTGCGCGGAGTCCTACACCCCCGAAGAACCTTTTGCTGGCATACCGGCCAACAATTCATAACATAATATATCAAGTTCCGCTAGCCTACCGGCACGCTGCCAGCCCATTGCTATTCTCAGCAGAAACAAAGTGCTGTACTACGGCAGTACCGTATTGTACAATATGCCCAAGCACTCCCCATAAGAGCACATCCAAACGAACCCCCATTCCGTTTATTGTACTGGAACCAATACCGCATTATCTGGCGAGATTCGCCCTAGTTTATCGCTCGTTCGTTGATACAGGAGCTTCTCCGAAATCCGCCCCAAATTCGCAGCAAAAGTCCTTCCCTTAACCCTTCGCGGCCAAACCAGGCCTGTCTTGGACTCTACCTGACTGAATCGGATGCCTCACTTTAACCCCCGCAGTACTTTATTCCAACGTACTAGCGGCAATCGAATCCTGCTAGATAATGAGGCACTTGTACCCCCACCTCGACCTAACCAACACACAACCCCACCCAGCCTATCGATAAGCCCCAAACCCAAGTGCACGGCCCCTCACTCACAACCCGCTCAACAAAAACTTTCCCAAGCATTGCAGGGAGGAAGGAGCCAAACAGGCAGTTATTTGAACCCCCCCCCCTCGACCTTACGAATTAACTCAATTCCCAGTTATTGTATCATAGTTATAGTTACGCTACTCTACAATTAGGTTACGGTACTGGAGACGTCGATCTTGGGTGGTGGGACGGCATTCTGACCCGAGGGAATTAAATTTTAAAGATTGACTTATACAAGTATTGTAATAACGGCAGCCGCGGGGCGCGGTAGGGAGTGCCGTGGTGGTATGAGGTCTACACATATGGGTATTCGTGAACACCTTGCGAATTTGGATCAATGATATGAGTTATTGTGATACTGGCTGCTGGTATGGCTGGTTATGTATGCACTTACTCGAGTGCGGAATGGTTGCTGTACTCGAGTACAGTAGTCCCTCCTCTCTCCGAAGTTCTCTCTGGATGCCAGTTTGCCATTTTTTCTCCATCACCATCACCGGTATGATACCTCTCAAGAGGGATTTCTAGATTTGGGGGCTTCGTTCTACCGCGGTTATCTGCTATACCCGTAGAAAGGCACCATCATCAAGAAATGCGAGGATAAGTCAGTCATGAGAATCCGGAGGATCAACCGTATGGTATGATAGGGAGTTCGAGATCTACTCGTATGATAGCATCTGCAATCCCTCCGTCCGTATATTGCCGCGTTTTTAGTTAGCCGGAATATTCCGAGGTTAGGAACAGTTTAAGTGTGCACGTTTTTCTACGGTACTGGTCACCTCGCGGCGAGAAGCTCCCCGGCCATAAATTCAACTACGATAGAAAGCATCTACACGATTGCTACACTTGAACTATTCCTAATCTGGGAACTTTCTACGGAACTGGGGAGCGACAAATACAGACTAAGGGATAGTGAATGAAGGACCGCTATTGTAGTATCACAGTACGAGTACTGTACAGTACTCGTATTGGTATCCTCTCCATTGCCCATATTTATTTATTTTCTTTTTCGACTTCTACAGACCTTAATTTACCATCATCTTTCACCAATCCACGGTAATCATCTCCTTTGTTTTTGTTTTTATTGGTTATTTTTTCCCCATTCTCATATGCTAGTATACTATAAGTATCCCGAACGAGATGGAGCACGAGAAAACCTACACAATACCAGCGAATCCCGGTCCCTCCCTGTAGAATACCAGCCAACGTTTGCGAATGCCAGCAAAATGCAAGGTTTCACCTATGGCCAAGAAATAATTCATCTTCTAAGCTGGAAAACACAATCACTCAAAAATAAACCAGCATTGCGTGTATTTGTTAGAACTTTGGGGGAATCTTAGAAGAGAAATGTGATATGTGTGAAAGAATGCGATTTCTTGAGGTGCTAAACAAGGTAATAAAGCATGGTTTCAAGAAAGCTTGGCTCAAGAATTATCCTAAAAAGGAGATTTATTGCCAAATTTTAAGCGACAACTAGCTATCTACCTAATTATTTCTACCTTCAAATAAGTTCTAAAATTTGGAAGTGTTTCCGGTTTACTCTCTTGGATTTTGGAGATTTTTTTTCTACCGAATTTACCTGTGTAATTCTGAAAATAGGATTTGCCCCAATAGCTTTAATATTACTGTATTGGGATGTTAAACGTTGGCTGGTATGATACAGTCGCACCTCGCTGTCCCGGATGGCCAAAATCCGCAGAATCTGTCCGAGACAGCGGATTATCCGGGACAACGGGGTACGTTCTGGTGCAAAAAAATTCAGAGCTCAGAGAATTTCGTCCGGGACAACGGGGGATCCGGGAGAGCGAGGTCCGGGACAGTGGGGTGCGACTGTATTACACTCGTAGTGAATGTCCGTGACGCGCTAGTCTTGAAAGGTTTCCTCGGCCTGTTCAACATTAGAAGCAACAGTCCACCCCACCCGCCCCCATCATTTGTGGTCGCATGCCCCTTCACGCCCGAGGAATACATTTAGCACTAAGGCTACGACCCACACCCACAGCTTACAAGCCATGGCTATCACGAACTCGACACTCGAGTCTAGACGAGTGCAAGAGTGTCTTAAAAAGTTCCAAGATTTTCATTTAGGAAAAGGGGGTGCCTTTCAGTCTTCTGCTGGAGAGAAAGCGCTCACTCTTAAAGCTACCATAAAGGAGTCTCTTGGTTTTTAAAAAAACTTTTACATGATGATGGAGAGGAGGAAGGGTAAGATGCTTCTCCTTATCCATGGTAAATTACTTATCTATACCAACCAGTTCTAGATTCTCTAAATATTCATATTATGCATCCTCTGGCACACTCACCACCAAATATTCCACGGGCCCACTGCACAAAAAAGTACGGTAGTATCAACTCTGATGGAAGGTTTTATTCTTTCAAAGGCCAAACTCACACCTAGTATCAAAAAGAAAGTTAATGTGGTTAGAAACTAGAAGTTCTTTGAGTTTAGTGGAGTACACCATGGCTCAGAAAAGGTTCCCAATCTTGCCTTACAAGTCACCAATGACAAAGAGCTTCACGAAGTGAAGTTTGTTGTGTTGGATTGTCTGAGACCTACGAAGACCCATCGTTGATACCAAGGTATGGCTGGAAGGTACCAAAACAGTTTCCCTGGTTCTGTTAGTTAAACTAGAGGAAAGCCCGGCATACCAGTCCCCCATAAAGAACCTGACCAAGGTTGAGTTATCTGAACTTGGGTTCCCCAACCTTGCTGAGGTTAGGAATGAACCATTTGCTACGAGTGGTTCGTGTGGCCCTGCAATATATAAAGGGCTTGTTTGGATGGGCAAGATCTCTGGCTTTTTGGAGCCCTGGCAACTCAATCCTCTGACAAAATCTGCGACTTCAACTTCCCACATAGTAAGTCTCTTTTTAAGGAATGTCAGGTGATCAAGCTTATCCATATAGGATCTCTATGATATAAGGGATACGGTAGTCCTAATAGCGGTCTCTGGCTTAGCCAACTGATTGATATTGCTTCGATAAATTTGCTTGGCTGGGATTGTGGGTTTTGGGTTTTTTTGAGGTAGGCGAGCTTTGAGTGTTAGTTGTGCGCATTGCTGGTTAGGTGGCTGGTGGCATGGTACTCGTTCAAGTGGATGAGACGAGGTTATCACCTCGTACAGTTCAGTTAAAGTTCGTGGAATTATCAAATTTTCTTTTTCTGAGCCTCCCGTTCACCGCCCGTCCATGTTATCTCGTACTGCCACTGTATAGGCGCTAGTTAAAGCTCTCACCCTAGCCAATAGGTGGATGGGGATAAGCGTGATGAATACTTTGACCTAGAATCTCTTGAGAGCCGTGTTCCGGGTACTGATAATGAATGAGTTTTTGAGTTTTGCAGAAAATGTGCAATTATGGTTATGCTATACTTAAGTGTGCTATTTTATGATATGTATGATACTCGAGCAAGCCACGCGAGTCCGCTGGGCTTAACGGGCAAGCCTTATCGGCAGAAGTCATAGTCATAGAGTATCACTCAGGCTTGGATCCGCATGGTTTCTTTCTTTTCCCCATCCTCTCTCGCGAGGAAGGCGGGCTTGGGAATATCCAGAACACTATGGGAGGTGCCAGTCCTCTGGATGAAAACAGTAGACATAAGCCATCAACCGAGAGGGCGGGCGAGTCAAGAACCACGTGCTATGAGATCGTACTATACGAGCAAGAACGGGTATATTTAGAGAAGCACCTCCGGGAATTGTCAAGCGCAGGCGGAGTTTTGTTCGAGAAAGGAATCTTAATCTTGCTTAGCTAAGTGGTAAGTGGTTGGAGCCATCGGATCAGGTGACGCTTTTCCTTTACTTGTAAATTATCGAACTGGGACCGGGGCGCCTCTGATAAAAATGATCTTGAACCAGGATGGTCTCTCTACCTTGGTTGGTTACATAAGTTATTATCATATAGCATACTCTTCATTAATTTAAGCCTGACTCGATTTTCCGATCCTGATCCTCTGCAGCAGGCCCACGGTACTGACTCCTTTCGCAAAGGGGCTGTGGGAGGTCGAGGTATTGGTTGCCCCATGATGCTACCTCGATTCCGCTCTTTTCCGTTCTAACATAGTATCATAAAGTTCGCACTGTTACTCGAGTTGTTACTGCTGGTACTCGTACTTGTGCAGTGACTACGATTACATGGGTGCACACAGCTGAAGGACGCGATCTCTCCACCACCATCTTCCGCTTTCAAAAAGTCTCGCTTGTCGCACCGCGTTCCCCACATCATCCGGGTGCTCATCTCGATCCCGATCCAGGGTTCTAATACGGTAAACTGGTCGCTGGGCCGGATCCTATCGTGGTACAGAGCATTGTTTTCTCGTTCCCTATGGGCTGGGCTGGAAAAGCTCAGGAATAGTAATAGAGAAAACGTCTAAAATACCATCGATTACAGGGGGGTATGTTTAATATACC